AAAAAAGGGGGGGGGGGGGGGCGGACTCGGAGTTTCGCTTTGATCATCGTTTATACTGTGTACAGGTAGATGGCGTTTTCTCACCAGTTTAAAGTGCGCCACGTCGTTGCTCTTGTCGCTGTCGGCTCTCCCGAGGCTGCTACGTTTATTTATTACCGAGAGGTCAGCAGCCTCGTGACCTCATGGGGATTCCTCCCGCAGATCGAGATGTCTTTGATTGCATTTTCTAGGTTAATCTGTACCGCTGCTCGATGAGTACCTGAGATATGTAATTTTTGGGAATTTTTTTTTTTTTTTTTAATGGAGGCTACCACAAGCCTTTAATTAAGTTATTGTTATTTTTATAATGTCACGCGCGGACAGGCTGTATTTTACCCTTAATTTCATCCCTGTTTCTTTTTGACGCTCTTAATGCCCCTTTGACTGTGATTCGACGTTCTTGAGCTACAGGAGCTTTGTCTGCATCCCCTTTAGAAAATATGAGCCTTTGTGATTCTTTCAGCCTTATCTACCCTTATCGAACCTGCTTGATGATCGGACCGACAACGAGTGAAACAGCCTGATGGCATTGATAGAGTCGTGACTAAGCTTCTAATTTTAGTGATTTTTTTTATTCTTCTATTGCTTCATCCCTTGTACACGACATCAAGGGAAGCTTTGACGTAGATTAATAAATAGACAAACATCTTCTTCGTGTATTGTGAATAGGTAGAATAATAATAACAATAACAATAATCAATTACACGTCAGCCTCATATTTTGAATTAAAAAAAAAAGTTATTACAATGGATGATGGGTGAAATTTTATCAAAATTTTATACAACAGAATATCGTCAAGTGCCAAAAGTAGAAAATAAAAATTTATTTTACATACGAATAATATCGATGCACACAATAATTTCAATATAATATTTGAGACGACAGTGGAGGCAATATTTTTATTAATTATATATACGGCACGTAATAATATATCAAAAATAATAATATTTACAGCGTTCGCGTACACGTGAACGGTGGCTACACGAGAAGTGCGGGTCAATTATGGGGCCCCGGTCATTTGCGGGAAATAAAACATTCGCACGTACTAATATTATTTATCAGTCAGGGGGTGGGAGCTTGAATTTAAAATAGGGTGAATTTAAAATCAACACAAGGGTGGTGGTCCATTACAATGAAATTAACAAGTTTGTCAATTGTTTGTCTCTCTCTCTCTCTCTCTCTCTCTCTCTGTATACATATATACATATATACACATATACATATTAACAAGTTTGTCAATTGTTTGTCAATAAAACATTCGCACGTACTAATATTATTTATCAGTCAGGGGGTGGGAGCTTGAATTTAAAATAGGGTGAATTTAAAATCAACACAAGGGTGGTGGTCCATTACAATGAAATTAACAAGTTTGTCAATTGTTTGTCTCTCTCTCTCTCTCTCTCTCTCTCTCTGTATACATATATACATATATACACATATACATATATATATATACTTGTAGACTATACCTACCAACTGCATAACTATAGTTTATACGATAATACACCTGCACTATATTACGTATAGCAGAGAGTTCCATATACCCTTAACTGGTACGCACCAGCTTATACCTTTCATCCCTTACAAGCCCATCGGTCCCTCTTTTGTGCTTGGTACTGCTCTCTATTACAATATACGTCAGAAGCAGCGAGTAATGTGAAATGGCCGGAACAAGAGTGGCTCAAGTCCATAAGGGTTGTTCTCTATTTAATTCTCCACTGCCTCCAATATCAATCCAGCCTGCATCTGCACGATCCACCCTGCAGCCCCCATCGGCCAAACACGATTTCCGGAATGGAAATAATTAGCGAATAAAAAAAAATCTGTTTTATTAATTTCTTATCAGGCATTTCGTAGAAAAACCTAATCATCCCTTAAAGGTCCAACCAGAACCCACGTAACTTCGGTCCAAGACTTTTACTTTTCTCCCGGCGGACCTTTCGTACCGGATACACTACCGTCACGTAACCCAACTTCCGGTGTCTTGTTGTCAAGCCGGATATCTCTTGAGCGTCCATCCCTTCCCAGTTAACTGGGATCGAAGATTTACGGAACGCCAGGAAAATACGACCTGGACGCCAGTGCTCCACGGGGCTGGGGCAGAAGGTTGCCCGGTGCAGCGAGGTGTGGCCGGGGCGGACCTCGTTAAGCAATTAATTTTCGCGAAAATTTTTGCGGATGTACGAAATTTTCAATTATGAGCATTTCGAGCGGTGCCCCGTTTTCTCCCTCGCGTCTGCCCACGCCGTTGGCGGAGGGATGATTCGGCTGTATGCATGGGCTACGAGAGGGGCCAGCCCCCCCCTCGCTGGCTGGGCCCGGTACAAGAGAGAAGGGTAGTTTTGCCGAGGGTGGGATGCCACGGAGAGACAATAGTAGGCGGACAAAAGCATGATATACGGCGACCCGGAGCAGTGGTATTAAAATCATATTTTTAAACCCACCCCCTACACCCACCGCCAACACCTCCCCGTCCATCCTGGCCCCGACCGCCTCTCCGACTCTACCTATACATACACTATACTGTCCTCATCCAGAGGGTACACTCTGGTAAAACCACGTTTTAGCGAGACATCCCTTCCCCCCTTCGCCCCTGTCCAACCCCCCTCCTCGCCCTCCTTGACACTTCC